CTCCGATATGACCTGCCTTTTCGGCAGACATCGTGTTGCAGCAGTCGGTATTTCATTAGCTAGAACCTAAGATAGTGTACGAGCAATTTATAAAGAGGAATATGGATAAGGCGATATTATTACCGTTTCTATAGGCTGGGGTAGCGTAGTGGTAGTGATTCCGTTTATTACATCCACGGTGCTGGTTCAACCGCGCTTGAGCTTACCAGGTCTCCCATCCCTCCGAGGTCGGGAAATCGGTACCACACTTGGTTGTGGCAAGTTCACTCCCTCCCTTGCACGTGGGAAAAGTCTAACAAAGCAATCGGAGAACTACAGGAATGGAAAGGAGGAGTCGATTCGTGCACTACTACTCAGTAATGTTTATACGACGATGATCTTACAGAAATTATCTATATATCTATATTGTAAGGCTATCCAACCATATTTTTTTTCTGAAACCTATTTGTTTTTCTTTTCCGAGGCGTTGAGTGTGAATCTTACTTGTGTAAGGTAACCTTATGGGTCGAATAATGGAAAAGTCAATATTTCATCTTTCTTACAGATAAACAATTTGCTAAATGACAAATTCTGAGCAGATCAAAGTTATTCGGCTTTTTATAGCCAGAACTAAGGATCGTTTGCCTAAAAGTAGTGTTTCAATTTGATTCGAAGTAAGAAATGAATCTGAAGAACTTCCGACAGTTCATCTGGTGGGTTGAAAATTGCAAATATGTAGTTTACATTGCTCTCAAAACAAGTGTGTTGTCGTGATTTGAACCGGTTCTGGTAGAGTAATGACAGTTTGTGTGCGGAGCTCATTAGGATCTATTGAGCAATATGAAGCGTTAAGTAAAAAATGTCTAGAAAAGTTATGAAACAGTTAAATGAAGTGTTCGGAAACGATCTTCGGTGTGAACTACATGGAAAAGGTTAACTACATTGACTTCGTCTTCTATCATTTATTGTTATGATTTCAAAAGAAAAAAGTATCTAATTCATTGCTTATTCAAAGGAAGGTTCTGTGGCTGTCTACCACATACCTTTAATAGTTTGATATATTGACAAGCAAAAAATTCTTCAATCATTTCATTCAATTTTACTAACATTTTCATAGTTTTTTTCATCCTTTCATTCAACGGTTTTTTTACAGCTCTACCACCGATCCCGGAGACATCTGTTTCATCATCGTCACCCGACTACAAAGAGGAGAGTGACTAAAGTGTTCTAGTGGATTACACTACTATGTTACCTGCGATTCGTTGTTTTCCTTTATTCTTCTTGACGAAAACCCCTATTTTAATTGAACGCTCTTCCTCATGAGAAACATCGCGTAAGAGAATCGCATTGCTGTTTCTCTCAAATTCACAGTAACTGCACTAGTCATTAATTATGTGGAATACTAATTCTTTATCTCTACGATCTCCTCTGATTAGAAGGTCGTAGAAAAATTATAGCAATCGAATGAGCTCATTCACATTAGAAATATGTATGTGGTTGGTTATATGATATGTAGACGTCAACTTTAAAATAACTGCTCGGTTTCCCATTTTTACATCTCTTTCGGGTTCATTTTAGGGCCTTGAATGTATCAGTGCGGGTTTAGAAACAAAGTGTTGTTCTTCTGCTGTCCAATAAATATTTTTGAGCAAGCATTTTTTGTGGTGTTAAAATTTATAGCAGTGGTTGTGTCTACACACATAGATTTTTATTTATTTATAACATAGTATTTCAAAAGCTATATGAAAAGAATAGTATTTGGTTTTTCCTGGTTGTCTGGTTAGAAAAACCTTTAAAGAAAGTTGCGGCTGGGTTCAATAACATAGAAATCTTTGTATTGTTTCTAACAATTCTGTCCACTATACGGCTTCNGTCTATACACATAGATTTTTATTTATTTATAACATAGTATTTCAAAAGCTATATGAAAAGAATAGTATTTGGTTTTTCCTGGATGTCCGGTTAGAAAAACCTTTAAAGAAAGTTGCGGCTGGGTTCAATAACATAGAAATCTTTGTATTGTTTCTAACAATTCTGTCCACTATACGGCTTCACGTTGTGGATATGAAGCGCAATGGTCAAGAGTGCTTATAGTAGACACCTGATCGTTGTTTCAACCCAGTGCAAACCTGCAGCTTTCCGCGGTCGGCGGTTTGCTCTCAGACTCTCCTGTGACGATAGAAACACTGATTTGATGTATGGTTTGTGTTCAGAAAGTCATTGTAAAGGCCAGATATGAATTCAGTCACATCTACGGTGCTAAACACAACGCCCGACGCTCAAATTTGCATGGCCGTCCCAGGCCGATTCCCGATTTCCCGTCGTCACAGATTTTCTGCTTTTTTTTTGCAAAGAGACGATAATGTTTCGATGTCTAGAGTACTTAAGCGTTTGAAAATTTCGCAGGATTATATAAAAGCTATAGCCTATCACAAGAGAGGCACGTATGGCGTGAATGCTACTATTGTTATGTCCTACTATGTCCTACTAATGTTATATCCTACTATGATCCACCGTACCACAATGTTGCTCGCATCAGTTGAATGTGTTTTTCAGCGTGTAATTTTGTGTTTTTTATAAATGGCATTGCATATGATAGCCCAGATTCATTATGGCGATTGAAAATGAAATAGCAGTAATTACCAGTCATTTCGGCCAGTAATCTCTGTTGCAAAGTTCATTGCGAGTTATTAACTTTGAGCAACAGCTATCAATCGGCAGTACGCCACTGCCGGAAAAACACCTGTTTCGAACAGGTTATCGATCGAGTACAAAAAAATTGACCAAAGAAAACTGCGTTGCAACGTAAACCACTGAAAGCGGAATGCGCTGGATGCAATGCGCATCCAGCGCATTCGTGCTCTTCCTCAATCCATGAGTAGCATAGACTGCATATCCGTTTGCTACGTGTTAAATGGGGTCGAACACATAACACATTCATGAGGAATTCACTACTATCGAATGCTCATCATCTATAGTTAAGAGATAAAGAAGAAGACTCTCGGTGTTGATGACTCCTGCTACGCATTCAACTTCATCAAGAATCGTAAGAGATGATTGAACGAATATATGGCATGTATCGAGAATCAGTGCTGCTCTCCTCCCAGACAGATCAGGTACCACCTAACCGATCCCGGAGGGATGGAGGACTTGGTGAGTCTGTGGAGCGCCATCCAACTCGTGTTTATTGCAGAACACCACTCTACCACATTCGTCCCTGTCCTCTGCAGTGACTCTATTTAATATTACTAGTTAGTGAACAAAGCAAGAGACGGCCGTATAGGATTTATGCGATTATTTTCAGTTAACGAGACGTAGTGTTTCTCTCTTCAAAGAACGAAAGATTTCACAAGTAGTTGCATCAAGAATTAAGATTTCAGTTCTTTGAAAAATATGGCTATAAAGACAAAAATCCTTTCTGGTAGTTCAGTCGCATTTTAACATTTTGTAGAAATCTTTTTTTGATGACGGCTTCCTTTTTATCTCTTCGAGTTAGGCACGCAACAGCATCTNAATCGTAAGAGATGATTGAACGAATATATGGCATGTATCGAGAATCAGTGCTGCTCTCCTCCCAGACAGATCAGGTACCACCTAACCGGTCCCGGAGGGATGGAGGACTTGGTGAGCCTGTGGAGCGCCATCCAACTCGTGTTTATTGCAGGGCACCACTCTACCACATTCGTCCCTGTCCTCTGTAGTGACTCTATTTAATATTACTAGTTAGTGAACAAAGCAAGAGACGGCCGTATAGGATTTATGCGATTATTTTCAGTTAACGAGACGTAGTGTTTCTCTCTTCAAGGAACGAAAGATTTCACAAGTAGTTGCGTCAAGAATTAAGATTTCAGTTCTTTGAAAAATATGGCTATGAAGACAAAAATCCTTTCTGGTAGTTCAGTCGCATTTTAATATTTTGTAGAAATCTTTTTTTGATGACGGCTTCCTTTTTATCTCTTCGAGTTAGGCACGCAACAGCATCTTTAAAAAGAAAGCTATGTGATGATGACTGTGATGATAGATGACTTGGCATTTCACTTACTAACCCTTGACCTTGTATTTTACTAGAATGACAGGAATCTAGGAAATTTCCTCTTAAAGATGAAAGATGGAAGCACCACCTACCACTAGTCACACATCAGCATCTAAAAAATCCAGCTGTTTCTAAATCTCTGGTCGACAGAATCAGTTATTTCGTTGTCAAAGGAAACGCAGTAACTTTGATGTATATAAAGTGCAGAAGCACTTGAAAGTGAAAAGATATGGTGTTAATTAAATGCACAGAAATCAGTCTGACACTCTACATTATCAGAATGCGAGGAAATTAGAAATCGATGTTACACGTGAACCAAAAAAAAAGCTGATGAATTATCTGGAAAATTGAAAGTCGTCCTGATTTGAAAAAATGTAGGGAATAGATCTAAACAACAATGCCGTTATCAACAACGGCCTCAGCTTAACTGGGTTCACTGCCGATATGTGCGCCCCAGACCAATCCTATCGACGGGTGATTGCTGATGGTACTGATCGATAGAGAACTAGCTGGGAGACAGGCGAAACAAAGAGCCCACATTGTGTGGTGGTGAACGCGTTACTCCCGTGAAAGGGCAATAGCGCGTTCGTTCTACACTGCAGACAACTGTGGTTCGGAGTTCTGCAAACATCTTAGCATCGTTATGGCTGCATTTCGCGTAATAACCTGCCGTGAAAGTTGTGGTAGGCAGCAAATAAAAGCAAAATATTGCAGTTATCGTTTGGGCAAAGAACTCCTTTCGGCTTTTTTAAAATGTTAACTTCAATCGTTTTCGTATTTTCTGTCGTCTTATTTGTGAGCAATTCTTAGATTCTGTTCACTTTTCTGACTTTTCATAGAGAAAACACAATGTTTCTTCAAAAAATTGTATAACCAATTGCTTTGCTGAAAAGTAACAAATTTATTTGAATGTATGACTATTCGAAACATTGATTTAAATCTCGATGAATACAGTATTCTTGAATTGTTTCAGTTTGTCATCATTTATTTAGGCCATTTTTCCTGCACCGAGGTCTGATCCAACTCCTACACCGAGGCCGGATCGGACACCTACATTTGCACCGCCAGGTGCGTCTACACCCACTCCTCCACTAATTCCCACAACGCCACTTCCCTGAAAGTGCATTTCAATTATATAAATAAACTTCGCGGGTTAGGAAAGTTTTATGGGAGAAAATTTATTCCAAAGCTCGCTCACCCGTTCATTAGGATTGTCCTGCCCACGTCGGAATGCTTCTGGTGATTTCGCTCCCACTATGCCTAGGTCAAGGCCTAAACACACGTATAACATCTTGTAGATTAAAACCTATTCCATGAAGACTTGTATCCAGTATCAAAATTGTTTTATAAAACAAAAAAGGCAAGATGGTAAATATAAAGTAATTTCATAATTTGCTCTGATCTTTTAAATTTTACACAAAATAAGGGCGCTTTGCTATTCTTCTTTTTAAAAAAGAGTCAAAAAGTTTTCTCTTTTAGTTTAAATAAAAGCTGTTAGTTTATTGCATTATTACGGTATCCATAAGAGTAAATATACAAGAAACTCGGGAAAGAGAACTAGGTTAACGGATAGGTGATCATTTCTTTCTGAGTATAAGCAAAGAATCTCTGACACTAAATCATTGAGGGCACAGTAAGGGAAACGTACATTATACTTATTGCAAAAAGATAACTGAAATCTATCTTGACCTAAGCCGACGCCGACATTTTCGCCCATTCCAGGAATGGGTCCTACGTCAACACCCCATCCAGCTCCAACGTCAAATCCGGGCAGTGCTCCAATACCGAGTCCGAACCTCGAATTTACGTTGACATGTCCTATCTAGAGCAAAAACTTTTCCTTAAAACTCATTTTCACTTTTACTTACATAACAAAGAAATAGTAGAATCCAGCAATTCTTTCTCAATTGATTGACTTTCTCAGTTCGTCTTGTGTGAACCATTTTATTGGGGTTAGATTACTACACAACAACTAACGGCCTAGAACTTTTCTTGATACAAAGGTTTTCCACCTCACTCACGTTTTCTTTTTGTGAAATCCTCATGTAAGGTTCGCTTACAAATTCGAACTAAAAACACTACTCGGAAAAGAACGAAATTTTGACTCGCTTACAGAGTCATCAATGGGCGGTCCGATACGTGGACCTGGTAGACGGTGGAAGTTCGGGACATTGCAAAATGCAGAGTAATCCTAAAAAGTGGATAGCGCTGAGGAAGTTTTGTAAATGAGCAATATGATAACAAAGATACAACTTTTACAGAGTTGTTGAGTTTGGTGCAATGATAGCATAGAGGATAAAGCATCCGACTTTAATCATTCCCTAAGAAGTGTGCCATGCATTCATCTCCATCAAACATCGTGGAGGTGTTTGAATGCATTGCTAATCTACACAGTGCCTTGAGGCGTCTTAGCGATATGTCAGATCACTGTTTTTATAATCTACTTAGGTCTGGCACTAATTTGATCACTCCAGGAAGGATGTTAGGTCTACTAAGCCCTGATGCAGAAACGAACCAACAACAAACGCAAGTGTGTTTTATAGTATCTTTATCGACTGTGCTAAACTTGGTGCAACATAAATTACATACATATTAAAACTGAAAACAGGTGGTTTTATGGTGTATGCGGAATTTGTTATTATGACTACTCATTGAATATTTTCACTAGTGTTAGTGAAGTGTTGAAACGCCAAAGCAACATGTTTATTGAAAAAAAAAGGTTTTTGGTGACTGACCTTACAAAATTCGACCAGATCAACTCTAAGCGGCTTACTAGGTTGACAAGTGTAGGCAAACATCGCTCGCATGTTTGGACAGTAATAAGAATCTTTCGGATGTGCAATGGGCCAGATTCTAAAAACTTTTCTTCTACATTAGTAGTAACTTTCACCACGATCACTCTATAATACAGTTCTGTTGCTTGCGCATTGATTTGCTATCGAGTTGCCGCGTCGCTAATCGAAACAGTTGTACTGCGCCAGCATCAGCAAATCGCTCACATATCCTCCACAAATACAAAACAAAGAGAGCTATAGAGGCACCTGTAAAGTAGTCCATTTCGTGTATGTTCTCGATAGGCGTTGTATTTTTGATGACGGTATTTGTAGTATTCATTGAGATTCCGAAAGTGTTTCTTCGGTTCTGGAGGTGGTTCACTGTCGATTGTGTCAACATCTAACACTGGTGGTGCTCTAAATTTAATGCTATCCATAACACCTTTTTAAAAGCGCAGAGGTTTCTTGATGGGTGCGAGATTCATGGCTGGAAATCCACCTGTAAATTTTTTCAGTTTAGTGAAATTCTGCAACATTGGTCGAGTAAGCGAACATCGATCCTTAAAACAGCTCCTTATTTATTTACTTTATACTTGAATGGCCCATCCTCACAGGTTGTGCAGACCTCAGCATAATCTCCATTTTTCGGAGAATTGCTGGTTAAGCTATTGTGGTTTCTTGGAATCCTGAGGTCAGCCTGACCAAAGTCTGCCCCAGTTCGTCACCACCACGAGAATTCGCATCCCTTGTGGATCAGAGGGAGATTTTCCACCATGCGACTTTGATGCCAGGACGGTCGTGGATTTTGGTATTGGTTTATTCTTAGCTAGGCTTTCTGATGGAATCTCAAAACTCCCTCTCAGCTTGGGAAACCCTGCTAGGGGATGGATCCTCCGCTGTACAACGCACTCCGAAACCCAGGAACACCTCCCAGCCACGATGAGGCGGCAAACCGTTGGGGGGTTCCTAAACAGCTCCTAATAAGTGTAAACACGGCTTATAATCATTTTTTAATGTTGAGAAAGAACAAATCATTTCATTTTTTGAGAAGAGATTTGGAAAGGTCAACTTGCTGTGGACGACTGGTAACAAACACGTTGTGAAAATAATTATAATAGGTTGGTGTTTATCAAATCAATTGTACAAAAAAAAAACAATTCCAAATACAATACAGCCACAACGATGCTAAGATATCGCAAAACTTGGCCCCACGCCAGTTTGAATGACGATTACCCTTTCCGCGGGCTCGCATATTACACACTGCACCACTGAAGCCCTTGCTTTGTGTTTCTCTCAGTTACTTTTCTACCCAACGCTGTTAGCAGCAATAACCCGTTTAAATATAATCACTTTATGTTTAATAATCACGAGTATAAGTAGAGAGCTTAAGAACGCACCCCAAAAGGGAAGTAAAAGTAAGATTAGTCGACATCTTATCACCGAAATAAGAATAATCCAAGAGATTCTTACACTGGAAAAGATCACGACTTTCTTCAGAAGTGTTAATACTGCTATAACTGCCTCATGACCTAGCATTATCTAAACTGCATATTTTCAGGGCTAGTAGTGAAAGTAGTAATAATAAAGAAGATAGGGAATAGATAATAATAATAATGAACATTAAAGGATAATCATAAGTAACAAATAAAATTTGAATAATAACAGTAAATAATATCTACAAGCAACAAATAATAAATATCGACAACGATATTAACAATGGTAGCAATAATAATAATAATAATAGTAATAATAATAATAACAATAAAAGAAGAGGAAGAATGCATTAGGACTTGACACTAACTGCTTCTAGTCTGATTAGAGAGAGAAGCTGGAGAATTCTGCACCACTTGCTCCTCACCTTGTTGCGATTACTTCAAACGGGTTTTCATTTGGATTCTCCGGAATAAAGCCTTCCTGAGTCGACTTTCCAGCACTCTTAAGAAACATGTTAATAACCATTGTAATGGATTTTTTTTTCCATCTTTTCCATTCTCTCTCATTTTCCCCACACAATTGCTGAGTGCAACTTCTTCTACATAGCTCACTAAACAAAATAAAAATGAAATATCATTTATTTTCTCAACTCTTAGCTCCACTTCTCTATTGCTGATTCTATTAATTTCATTTCTTTTTTTTTTCGTTTTCTTCAAAATCGCTTTCCTCAATCAGCTTAAACTATATTGAATTACTAACGTACTTGTATTTGTGGCTTCATGGATTTTTTCCCTTTGCTGAACAATATGATCCAATCCGTTAGATAAACCTTTGCTAATCGGTGAAAAGAAAGTTGAAATCGTCTTAGATTACATGAGTGGTCATGATGAAATCTATGAGGACTATGAACGACTTCAGAAGAACATAATGGTGAAACATAGTATATTGATTTTTTGCTGGTACATGGTGGTTATAATTATTGTGGACTAATAACAAAAAGAGATTCTCCTATTGGAATGCACAAACGATACTTTTTTTTGTCAAAACAGTTGTGATTTTAGCATGAATTAAATAAAAGCACTTGCATGAACTCTATACCTCATCGGGGACCTCCTTGTCTTTATGAAGTGACTTCACGGCTTGTGTTATAGCTGAAAAGAAGCTTTGTAAAAAAAGAATTAAATACAGCTTTTCTTAAGAATTTTTATACAGTAAGCAATAGTAATCCATACAATCAGAGTGCCAAAAGTGCAATGACAGAGATAGCATTTATTACGGGTTACGTCCTGGTTCAACCTAGCCCTATCGGATCGAGAGTCACACTCCCCGGGTTTGCGAATTAGGTAGCAAACTTATACGTGAAGTGTTGCCTCCGATGGACAAATATCGCTTGTGGTGGAGTATCGGGAAAACCCTAGAACGACTCGAGAGTCGACTAGACCAGCGTTCAACGATATTCATAAAGAGGACCAGAACCCTCAACCAACACTTGAATCGACACTCAAAATCCGATGACCTTCGTGAATGATGCGTGTAAGGTGACCAATCGAATGAGAGAAGTACTAAGATTCCCACATTATAGGTGAACACAGGTTACATAATGGATGAATAACAAATAAATAAATAGATAAATAGTACAGACTACTTATTAGGTTCACGGTTATGTGGCGGAAGGAAATCCGATAAGTCTCTTGCGAAAACCTGCGAATCTCCTAAAACTCTTTGGACTGAAAATGCTAACTTCTTTATTTAATGCCTACTAGAATTTTTACGGCCGATTATTATGTGAAATCAATCACAATGATGCTGAGATATTTACAAAACTCTGGACGGCAGTTGTCTGCGGTGGGGATTGAACATGGTATTACCCTTTCCGGGGCTAACGCGTTTACCACCATACCATGCGTCCTCCGTTTCGCCTATCTATCAGCTAGTTTTCTATCTAACAGTGCCATCGGCAATCACTCGTCAAATTTTCTTTGGATTATAGGGCGAGAATCGTCTTTCTATGTCGAACAGAAGTTGCACTGAAATAATCCTTTAAGATGGAGCTTTTTTATTAATTCGTGATATTAACTATGCCTAGAGTAAGAGCAACCACATTCTGTTCTAGCCTGGAAATGCCCTATCGTATCTTTTCTGAGCTTATGAGGAAGCAAGCTTGCCCATTTTGGAAAACAGCTATCGATAAGGATTGCACTACGATGATTCGTGCAGACTGTCTTTGTGTACAAAGGTTATTTACTAAGTTAGATCGCCAAGATAAGGATAACGCTCACATTTAGTTCTAGTGTTAGGGGTTTCGGAAGTGAAGGAACCACCGCACTGCATACAAACTTGATTGTAGCAAATCGCAAGACCGATTTTCTTCCAACCTCGGTATTGATCAATGCTACACTGCTTTATTGATGAGCAAACAAGTGTTTGTTAACAGCAAAATTTCTTCAATACAATACTGGCTAACGTTTTGGCGGTTTCACTTCTTCAGAAGCTGGAGGAGCCAAATTGATTCACAGTCCATTCACCCAAACACTTTCATAAACTTAGCAG